TTGAGGCTGCGCAGCAGTGTCTATGGAGTCCCTTCCTTTCATACCATAACCGTCCCACCAACTTTCAATGCTCAACTGAAATGGCTTCCAAATTGAGCTGAATTAAAATGCCTGGGGGATGCTCAGTGTGGTAGGCAGAATAATATCCATCCCTCCGCAAAAAAAGTCCAAACCTTGTGAATTGGTTACCTTACATGGCAAAAGGACCTTTGCAGGTGTGATTAAGAAACTTGAGATGGGAGATTATCTGAATTATCCTGGTGGGTCCAGTCTAATCACATGGGTCCTTAAAAGCAGAGAATCTTTCCCAGCTGTGGTTAGAGGGAGACATGACCATGGTAGAAAGGCACAGAGAGATGCCACTTTGCTGGCTTTGAAGATGAAGACAGGGGTTGTGAGTCAAGGAATGAGTGGCCTCTAGGAGCTCTGAAAGGCCTGGAGACAGATTCTCCCCCAGAGCCCCCAAAACGGAACATAGCCTACTGATGACATCTTGATTTTTGCTCAGTGAGACCCGTGTTGGACTTGTGACCTACAATAAATTTGTGTTTCAATCCACTAAATTCATGGTAATTTGTTACAGCAGCTATAGAAAACTAATACATTCATGAGCATTATTGGTTGGAAAGTTTCTTAGACCATGTGCCAGAGCATTTCTAAAACACAGGTCTGATCCTCTTTCAGTGGAGACTCTGAGTCCTGTTGGTTCTACCCGTATCGACTTTAGCAAAGCGATCAGTGTTTGGGTCTGTTTTCGAGCAACAGAAGCCCCTGATGTAGTTTAGAAAACTAAATCTACATGGCAGTGTTTTGAACAGTAAATCATAAAACTGAACATCTTCAAGTGAACATCTGAGAATGACAACAAATTAGATGCTGTAACATCGTCTGTAGTACATATTACTAACAATACCACGTACAAAAACAAACAAAAAAATGGACAGTTGTAAGTGTGGTTCATTGTAACTCCAATATGTCATAAGATGGGGACTGCCTGTGCTATCTTCTCTCTCTGCCTGTAGTGCTCTTCTTCTTCTCCCTCTTTTTCTTATTCTTCATCTCTGTTTAGCCATCACTTCCTCAGGAACCCTTCCCTGACTGCTGGTAATTCAAAATTCAGAGCTTCTCCATGGATGCTCTCTCTGCTCCTGGTACTTTGCCCCTGCTCTATTCATCACTTTGTAATTATCTATGTGAGTGATTATTCGATTAATGTGTTCTTTCCATCAAACGCTATGCTCCATTTGAGTAGGGACTTTAGCTGATTGTGTACTTTTGCGGCCCCAGCAATTCTCATAGTATCTGGGATGTGGATGTTGTGGTTGTGTACCGTCAAATCCATTCTGACTCATAGCGATCCTATAGGACAGAGCAGAACTGCCTCATGGGGTTTCCAAGGAGCGGATGGTGGATTCCAACTGCCAACCTTTTGGTTAGCAGCCTGAGCTCTTAACTACTTCGGCACCAGGGCTCCGGGATATGGATAGTGCTCAGTAATTATCTGTCTATTGAATAATTATTATTAATGGTCCCAGCTGTGAAACCAATTCTATAGTTTCCATTTGTGTGTCTTACAAGGGAAAGCGAAAGGAAGGTACCAAATGTCTCAACTAGAGACACAGAATTGGATATATTGTCCTGTGGGGTGGTTTTGTTGTTGTTGTTGCTGGTATTAATTTTGTTTTGTTTTGTTTGGGGAAAAGCATTCAAATGTTGTAAAAAAAAAAAAAAAAAAAAAGCTAAACCACCCTGAAACAGATTTAAACTGTAAGAAAAACTCTGAACTGTTAAATGAACAAATTTCATTTAATATTTTTAAGAACACAGGTAGGGAACTCATGACAATTTCTTGGGAAATGGACTTTCTGCCTTTTTTATTTTTAAACTGTAACATTTTTAGGAACAGGGCTGCACAGTGAGGCCTAAAACGTTATTACTATTTTTTTACATTCAGGACAGACCATAAGTGATATGCTATGTATAGAACACCAGACAGAGCTGTTTTCAAAATTACCAGTTCTTCTCACACCTGCCTTACGACGCCATCTGACGTAAGTGTTTTATATACCTCTGCTAAAGGCTTTTCAGCATTTCAACATCTTTTGACAGCAAAGGAAAGTTGATGAGCTCTACTTAACCTAGAAGGATTTTTAGATTTTTTGCCGTTCTTATTGTGGGTTTGGAAACCCTGGTGCCATAGTGGTTAAGTGCTATGGCTGCTAACCAAAAGGTTGGCAGTTCAAATCCACCAGACACTCCTTGGAAACTCTACGGAGCAATTCTACTCTGTCCTATAGGGTTGCTATTAGTTGGAATCGACTCAACAGCAACGGGTTTGGTTTTTTTGGCTTTATTGTGGATTGAACAATGTGCATTGTTTTGTCAAGAGTTTAGATATCTTTTTATTTTTTTGGTCTGGAATCCAGCAGAGGGTATAATTCCAAATTTATCCTGGAATAATGCTATTCTTTTCCTTTGTAAACAACACCACGAGGTAAGCTGTGCTTATTCTTTTTTTTTTTTTAATTGTTTTTTAGTTTCTTTCCTTTAATGAAAATAAAAATCCAGCACTTACCAGCAAATACTGGTATCACTTCACATACTTACCAATTGTCAAAGCTCCATAAAACCAAAACACCAAACCCTCTGCTGTCAAGTTGATTCCGGCTCACAGTGACTCTACAGGACAGAGTAGAACTTCCCCATAGGGTTTCCAAGGCTGTAAATCTTTAGGGAAGTAGACTGCCACATCTTCCTCCCACAGAGCAGCTGGTGGGTTCAAACCTCCGACCTTTTTGTTAGCAGCCAAGCGCTTTAACCACTGCACCACCAGGGCTCCTGTCAAAGCTCCATATCTAGGCCAAAATCATTCCAAATCCTAAAGCTTTGTCTCTTGATTCATATTTTTAAATCTTATTCTTATCAATTTTCTCAGGACTCTTTCCATGTTTCCCACTTTATTTTAGCTGGATGACATCCCAATTAAAGGAGAACATTGAACTATGCCCAATACTAGGCTATAGAGTTTAAAATAAATTATGGTTTTGAATCCTGTCTCCACCACTTAATAAATGAGATGTTTCTGAGCCTCAGCTGTCTGTGCTTACTCTTAAACCTCATCCATGAAACACAATTTGAAGGTAAAACAATATCTTAGGGAACCACTAGAATGCAAAATCCATGGCAGCAGGGGCCATGTTTATTTTATATCTGTTATATCCCCTTTGCCCAGTACATAGGAGACACAACAGATGTTTTTAAATGAATGAACACACATAAAATTATATTCATTTATTAAACCTTTTACATTAAAAATAATACACTTATTTCAGAAGTTTTAGGAAAAAGAGAAAAACAAGAACGAAAAGAAATGACATTACCACTTAAAGATACTCATTATTAATATTTAGGGGTATCCCTCCAGACATTTTTTCAATGCACATATCTATTCTTTATCTTTACGTCATACTGCACACACAGTTTTCCTAATCTACGTGTTCTTTTTTACCGAAAATGTATTCAATATATATATTCCATGCCATCAAGTATTTTTTGACATTAGTATTGATGGCTGTGCATTAGTCCTTAATAAGAATGATCCATAGTTCATGTAGCCAATCCCACAAGGAAGCATTGCCAATGCAGTAAATGCTCTGTTCTAAAACTGAGCATTTGGTTACAGAGGGCAGGACAGTTACACGGCAGTGAGCATCTGGGGCCAGAATCTAATGAACAGCACTGAGTCTAAAACCACAAAGAACATGCTTCAGTCTTTCTTTGATGAATCAGAAACATCCGACAAGGAATTTCCATGTGGAAGTAAATATCTGTCACTTTGGAAGAGTTATATTTGTGCAAGGCTAGCCAAAAAAGTAGAAGCCCTGGTGATTTTGGTGCCAAGAGGGGAACTCCAACCCAGTGTCCCCTCCATCACTGAATGGCGCTTGATGATAGAAGAAATGGCTGCCATATTTATTAATGAGGCCAAAGAGTCTATCTTGGAATTGACACTAAACATTCCAGAAATTCCTTTGTTTTCTTATTTTAACTGAGAAAACCAGCCCCTCACTTAAACTCCCTGCCCTTGCAGGAGGCAGATCTAGATTGTGTTACTTGAAGACTAGAAGGTTTTATTTCAAGAAATCCCAGCCTCTTATGGCAAGGGTGTAGGATATTGTTTCTAAGACTGCTTTTGAAATTAATTTGTCCTTGCAACTCATGCTGGGGCCTACCACATATGGCAGCAGGTTAAGTGCTGAATAGCGTCAGGGGTGGCCATTCATATCATGGTCTATGGGAATGCTGTACTGGGTGGGGCCTCTATATCTGGCTAAAGAGAATTCCTACTGGTAGCATGGAGACACACACACAATCGTATTTCATATATCTTACAATATATTGTAAAATTCCCACTTCAAAATTGCCATAGAGCCTAAATCAAAATGGGTTTCCCCAGAATTCACTACTACTATTAAACATACTCTACAAATGTCGACTTTGGTAGAATACCACCAATATGTTGTCTCTGTAGATGGGACTTTCAGCAATGAGGTATTTTAGGTGATTTATACGAAGTTTGCTCCATGCACTTACACAGCCTGAATAAGAGTGTTCTGCAAACTGTAAAGATTAAACATGGTTAAGATGTGGGACAGGTTAAGTATCTAGTGATTTGCTAAAATGTTTTCAGTCTATTTGCTATACAATTTTATTTTTAAAAAAAGTATTTCTAATAAAATGTCAGACTCAAATTTCTCAGAATAAAACCAATTACATAAAGAAAAATTTACCCAAGTCAACTTGAGGTCACCATTGGTTACCTTGAGAGGAAGGAGTTATTATTTCACACTGCCTAAGGGCAAAAATGTGAATTAAGGCTTTCAAATTTGAATGGTGGTGTCAGGGGTTGGGGTAGGGAGGGAATACTTCTTCTCTATCTCCTCCAGGAAGAGCTGATCTGTCTTTAGACATAGGGACCAGTTCTAGGCCCTTTGAATCTATCCCCTTAGTGCCCAGTGCAGCTCCCGCTCACAGTACTTGCTTTTAGGTGTTTGCAGATGAAGAAGAAGAGAGGAATGAGGAAAAAGGGGTTTGAGGACTTCTACAGTCCTTTATGACCCCACAACGATCCTTCGGCTGATGGCTCCTGGCAAGGTATAGATGAAGAGGACCAGGAAGATGATGAGGATGATCAAAATGAAGCCGATGATGATGTACTTTTTGTAATTCTTCCAGATGAGGTGGTACAAGCACTTGAAGGGGTTCATCAACCAGGAGAAGGAGGTATTTGGACGGCTGAGGGGGAAGCATGAGAAAATCAGTCAGGGAAGTTAACATTTAGAGGCCTCAAGACTCAGGGAATATTTCTGACCCCACTTTGTGGGGGTCCACAGGAGACCCCTGGGAATGGGAGAAGAAGACCATGCTGCCTGAAGCAGAACAATCTCACGTTTGGAACAATAATGATTCCTGTATCATTTTCAAGATTGGTCTGGAGCAGGGTAAGAGCCTAGTTAGAGCCCAGTCAGAGGCCTGACCTCCCGCTACCTTTTCCATGAAGCCTCTTGACCACCCAGTTCATAATGATTCCCCTCACCCTGAATTCCTATCTCACCTATCACACTTGACTTACCTGCTCTTGGAACCTAACTTATTTGTCTTCTAGACTCTGATAACTATTTTATGAGTCTCTGTGTTATTTTTCCCTAAACAGATCAAAAGCTCCTGGAAGGCAGAGCTTACGTCTTATATGTTTTTTTTGTTCTTCGATGTGTCTTTTTTAGTGCTAGGTACATATGGTAAGGGATTAATAAATAATTATGACTTAATGAATAATTAAGCACGCATTATGTCCCTAACACTATGATAGATGCAATGTAGGTATGGAGACATGACTCTCATCTTGAGACATTTGGAGTCTCGAAGGGGATAGGACAAATACAATTGAAAGAGTCATTTTGTATACATATTTTATATCTATCTATCCATCTGTCTGTCTGTCTATCTGTCCATATGCCCATCTATCCATCTATCCACCTACCTACCTACTTCCCTATCTATCCACTTTTTAATTGATATATAGCATAGATTGAATTGAATAGGGTAACTGTATCTTTCAATAATTCTACTTCTGGGTATTTATTTTAAAGTAATTATTTAAAAAGGGAAAATATGTACATCATATAATAATAATAGAAAAAAGTAGATTAAATGTTCAGTTGTGGGGGAGAGGGTAACCAAGTCAATTATGGAACATCATAAAATGAAATATTCCAGTCATTAAAAATTCTAATTATGATAACTATGGCAACAAAGCAAAACTTTGCAGGAAAAATTTGAATAATATTAAGATAATTTTAATTAGTGTAATTAGAGAATAAGAGAAATATTCATGTAAAATTTATATTCACATGAAAAATGACTAGAAAAGAATATATGTGAAATTATTCTAGAAAAGCTTATGTAGTAGTATCATAGATAAGCTCCCCAATCATTTGCCAAACATTCTGAAATTTGTTTAAAAATGTTTTTCAATTATAGAAACAAAAAGCTGCGTAGATTAGGTGGCACCTATTGACTGCCTCACTTCTAGGTTTTCCCCAGAGGGACCCTCTAGATGAATGCCCACGTGGCCCTCAAAGGGCCTTTCCCATTTCCGACGCTCTTGTTCACGACTCCACTCACTTGGGTTTGGCTAGAGGTTCTGGTTCCTTTCTGGCTTTTCCCACAGGATGTTTCTTGGCTTCTTCTGCTGTAACTAGGTGAAACTCAGCTTCAACCTTGCCCTGCAGAGAGAAGAAAGCTTTAGTTTCTAGTCAGAAAGACCTCTTGGGGGAAGGCCAGCCACCTAGGAGAAGTGGTAACATGTTGAGGAATGCCAGGAAATATTTTGACTATCCTGCTGCTTTATTTTGAGAAATATTGTTGTCTTTTCAGTCCTGAGAGAAGCCATTTGTACAATGAACAATCAAACTCCTGAAATGATGAAATTGTGAAAGGAGAGGGGCCGACATGGACACGCAGACACACATATACCTCAGTCACATGAACTGTTTTGCCTGAAATCATTTACTATCTGAAGAGATAATATTAATTACAGAAACTTAATAGTCATTAGAAAGGGACTAAGTACTTGAGTGGCAGGACCCTTTTGAGTCTGCTTTTTTCCCTGTCTGTCAGTGATTCTCGAGAGGAAGTTAGTTGGCATGGCCCTTCATTTGCAGAATGGCTTTTCTGTCATCCTTTCATTCTTTTTCATTATCTCCAATAACTGTTTTAGAATTATCCATTTATTCTAGCATACCCTTCTCTTCTCAATAAGAAACAGTCCTTCTGATTTGATAAGTGTGAGTAACGTGTTCTTCAGAGCACCATGCCAAAGTTACTGGCAATGGTGTAAGCCTTGGGTTATTGAAGGATGAGACAGAACCTCCACAAAAGATAAGAGTCATTTGCATTCATTCATTCATTATTATTTGAGGGTTCTCTGTATGCCAGGCACTGTTCTAGGCACTGGGGACTTAATGATTATTAAGAAAAACAGGATTCTCAATCTCTTGGAGCTCACATTCTTGGTGGAGGAGATACTCTCTCTTCCTGCCTCTCTTTGTTTTGTGCAACTAGGAATTCTACTTCTGGGTAGATAAATTAAGGGAGTAATCCAAAATTCAGGAAAATGTCTACGGCAAAGCACAGTCATTATTCTTTGGATGCTCAGATTGTCCTATTTGTCACAATGAGATGTCCCAGGTTTATCTTGTATTTTCTGCCCTAGACCTGGAGTCAGCCACTTCTCCAAACATCCCTGGTTTCTTTTAGCAGGAAATGGTGTTTCAAAACCAAGATCTAGGTGCTAGGGGTATTGTCTGTACTGAGGTGATTTTACTTCTGGTCTTTCAGTGCACAGAACTAGGAAACATATTGTTAAAAACTCATGAGTCCATAGTGATACCAACAACAACAAATCCAAGGGGAAAACTCATTTGCCACCATTGGAAATGCCTATTATACCAATTTTTATTCTGAAAGTTGATTATTTTTCATTTTTTTATTCTGAAAATTGGTAGTTAAGGAAGATAATTAAGTACTTATGTCTTTTTTGGGGAGGGGGTTGTAATTTATTTCTAATTGATAAAGAAAATCTCATCTTAACAGAAGAATGACAACTAAAGAGTGGAGAAATATTGATAGAACTAGATGGATGGATGGACAGAAGAATGGAAGAGAGAGAGGGAGAGAGGGAGGGTAAGGTAAGAAAAAGAGGGAGAGAGAGAGAAAGGAAGGGCTAGAAAAATCATATTACAATCCTCACATACAGGGAGGCCCTGACTTATGATGTATTTGAGTTAGGACGAGCCTTACTTACGACCATCTGTTTTTGTTTTTTTTTTTGTATATCTTATCATTAGTAATATGTACTACATACAACGTTGCAGCTCATAATTTGCTGATATTATCATTCTCAGATGTTCAGTTGCAGATGTTCAACGTTATGATTTACTGTGCAAAACACTGCTGTATAGCAGGCTATGAAAACTAAAAAAAAAAGAGATATTCAACGTATGTCAGAACCAACTTACGATGGAGTTGTGGGAACAGAACCCTGTCATAAATTGGGGACTACCTGTACATTATTCCATTGAAACCTTTCAACAACCCTACAAAGTAGACAGTTTTTATTCCCATTTTACAGCTGAGGAAACTGAGGCTTGGTGACATTTACTAACTTGGGTTATAAAACTAGGGTTTGTAACCAGTCCTCTGAAACCAAATTTCATTTCTCTGCTACTTTATATGCCCAGCTGGCCCCTTTTTGTGGAAGAAGTAGACTACTTATTTAGCAATGAATAAACGTGCCTTTTCTGAAATGTTTAAGAGGAATTTTATAATGTTGCTATGGCTCTGGTATTAGCATGTGCTTTTGATCGCTGTCTAAGGGCTGGCCTTGAGTAGCTTAAGGAAGAGTATAGCACAGCACAGCATAGCATAAGATTGAGTAAATAGGATTTGGTGCAACAGATCTGCATTTGAAACCAGGCTCTACTATTTACTAGGTGTGCGACCATGGGTTAGTTACCTGCCCCCTCTGGGGATATTAATAGCATGTACCCCAGAAGGTTGCTTTGAGGAATAAATGAAATAACAAATGTCATGGATTGAATTGTGCCCCCTAAAAATGTCTGTCAACTTGACTGGGGCATGATTCCCAGTATTGTATGATTGTGTCCCATTCTGTAATCTGATGTGATTTCCTTATGTGTTGTAAACTCAATCACTATGATCTAATAAAATGGATTAGCGGCAACTATATTGATGAGGTATACAAGGTTGGATAGTGTCTTAAGCCAATCTCTTTTGAGATATAAAAGAGAAAAGCGAGCAGAGACACATGGGGACCTCATACCACTAAGAAAACAGTGCCGGGAGCAGAGCGCATCCTTTGGACCTGAGGTTCCTGCGCTGAGATGCTCCCAGGCCCAGGGAAGACTGATGCATCACAAGGACCTTTCTCCAGAGCCGACAGAGAGAGAAATCCTTCCCCCGGAGCTGATGCCCTGAATTTAGACTTGTAGCCTACTAGACTGTGAGAGAATAAATTTCTCTTTGTTAAAGCCATCCACTTGCGGTATTTCTGTTATAGCAGCACTAGATGACTGAGACAACATATATACAGTGTTTCACCTGGTACCTGGTAGATAGCTCATCCTTAAAAAAATGATAATTTTTATCCTTCAACATTATGTCATAAACGGAGAAAATATTGAAGTTGTCGAGGATTTCATTTTACTTGGATCCACAATCAGCGCCCATGGAAGCAGCAATCAAGGAATCAAATGACATATTGCATTGGGCAAATCTGCTGCAAAAGACCTCTTTCAAGTGCTAAAAAGCAAAGATGTCACTTTGAGGACTAAGGTGCGCCTGACCCAAACCATGGTATTTTCAATCACCTCACATGCATGTGAAAGCTGGACAATGAATAAAGAAGACGTAAGACGAACTGATGCCTTTGAATCATGGTGTTGGTGAATGTCTTAGTTATCTAGTGCTGTTATAACGGAAATATCACAAGTGGATGGCTTTAAAAAACAGAAGTTTATTCTCTCATAGTCTAGGAGGCTAGAAGTCTGAATTCAGGATGCCAGCCTCAGGGGAAGGCTTTCTCTCTCTGTCCTTGTCATCAATCTTCCCCTGTCAAGGAGCTTCTCAGCACAGGGACTCCTGGTCCAAACGACATGCTATTCTCCTGGCTCTTGTTTCTTGGTGGTATGAGGCTGCCCCCTGTCTTTCTGCTTGCTTCTATCTTTTATATCTCAAAAAAGATTGATTTAAGACACAATCTAATCTTGTAGATTGAGTCCTGCCTCATTAACGTAACTGCCTCTAATCTTGCCTCATTAACATCATAGAGGTAGGATTTACAACGCATAGGAAAATCACATCAGATAACAAAATGGAGGACAATCACACAATACTGGGAATCATGGCCCAGCCAAATCGACACATATTTTGGGGGAACATAATTCAATCCCTGACAGTGAAGAATACTGAATATACCATGGACTGCCAGAAGAATGAAACATCTGTCTTGGAAGAAATACAGCCAGAATGCTCCTTAGAAGTGAGGACAGCAAGACTTTGCCTCATGTACTTTGGTCATCAGGAGGGACCAGTCCCAGGAGAAGGACATTATGTTTGGTAAAGTAGAGGGTCAGCAAAAAAGAGGAAGACTCTCAATGAGATAGATTGATACAGTGGCTGCAACAATGGGCTCAAACATAACAACGATTGTGAGGACGGCGCAGAACCAGGCAGTGGTTCATTCCATTGCACATGGAGTCGCTATGAATTGGAACCAACTCAACGGCACCTAACAACAACACTATGTCATGAATGGAAACATGTAGTTTAATGGCAAACATCTGCCCATACCGAAAATACCCAGAGAAGTCCCACGGATTCAGACTCCCACAGGGGAAAAAAATGCGAAGAAAAACAGGCAAGAATATGAAATTAATTCTGCCCTAGTACAGACATCATCAAGTTACCATCATGAGGTGCCTTGCCAGAGCGTCATGCCCTGCTTGAGTGGTCGGGACTGTTTATCGGTGTCACAGAGGCAGCAGGCGGAATGGTGTTTACTGACACGTCCTGATAGATAATGGCTCCTCACCCTCACCTCTCCCCACAGAGCATTATGTCCTGTTTCAATCATTAGTATTCAGCCTTGCACCAAGTGGAGATTTTAAACTAATAATATCCTCCAAGGGTAGTTTTAAATCAAAGCTAGGAAAAAAAGTCGACAGTTCAGAGACTATCTGTTAACATAATGACCTCTGCAGGGGGGGAAGAAAATGATAAGGAAAGGTCGTGGCTTATGCTGACTGAAATAAGTCTGTCACAAAAGGACAAATACTGACTAATCTCACTTAGATGAAATAGGCAACTGTATAGAGAATAAAGTTTATTAGTGGGCACCAGGAGTGGGAGGGAGAGGGAAAGGGGGAGTCACTGCTTAGGGGACACTGAGTTTCTGTTAATAAGAATTGGAAAAAGGATAATGGTTGTACAACATGAGGAACACAAGCAATGTCTCCGAATTATATAAGTAAACATTATTGAATTGGCAAATGTTTTGTTACATATATGATTTTTAACTACACACACACATACACAAACACACACACACAAACCAACTCTGGATTTGTGTGCTGTATATGCTATTTATGGGCTTCCAACCTCACTAGTGGATGCCTGAGGAGGCTGTGAAGTGACGTGCTCAGAA